ATACAATTTAGTGTTTGGATTCTAGCTAACTTTTATCAGTGTGACTAGCTGAATTGTGTATTACTGTCAAAAAATTGATGTAAAATGTCTGTTCCTACTTACATTTTGATATTTCTACCTCATATTGTCTTAATACTTGATCACCTAGGTCTTGGTTTAAAAAAAAAATTTCTTAGTTATAATAAGTTACTTGTCATGTTTGTGAGCTTCAGTCAAAAGCATCCAGTCCCCAAAAAGACAACTTGTTTTTTATAAATCCAGAATTTGCAGTCCTATTGTATCCAGGTGTCACAGAAGTATTTTTTCATGCTAGCCAGCAAGTATGTCACAATGTCCAGTCACAATAGCAAATAGATGAACGATTCTTGAGGTCATTGTGATTCATTTAAGGAGCTGCTTTTGTTAAGATGAATCTGAGTAGCTGGGAGTTTTGTGAAGGTGGATGGTCGTGCTGGCTGTGGATAATGGAGATTKTGATTTGTATAATGGCAAAACCAATATAATTGTTTCACTGTCCTTTTTTTACTGCTTCTTAAATTGGTTGTTGGAGAATATGTAGTTACACTATACAAAAGTCTTCTTATGAAATTAATTTTTAAGCACTGAAAGAKCTTTCAATAGTGCATGTGGGGCTTTTTGTATGTGCTTATTTTTAGATCTGTTTGTTGAACCCTGACACTCAATGCAACAGTATCACATGGATACCAACAGCTTAATAGGAGTGAAGGAATGGGGAAAAATAAAAATGGATATAAGGACAACTTTTGTGAAYCTGCAAAGAGTCTTCTAAATTGAGAAAAACATGTCTGGTCCTATGTTTCAGGTTATGAACTTGCACACCAAAGAGTGCAGACAGAACTGACCACATGAGCTTCTGGTTTGAGCAAACCAGAAACAAACAGCTCCATTCCAGAAATGCTGTGTGTATTCCTCCAGAGTCACGTTAGCATGCTTCGATACACTCTTAAGACAATTCAGCAGTGAGAGGGTGTTTGACACATGGTTGTAAACAGTGTGATGTTTCAGAGGTCATGTGGTTTTTGTGGCATCAGTCCCGAATGAGGTGTTGAAAGGCAACCAWGAAAGTATACAGTTTCCATGTTATGTCTGTGTGTTCCTGCCTCTCTGCTTGTTCCATTTATATTTCTGTATTTCTTGGTGCAGTGTCTGGCTGTCTCTACATCAGTTGTTAGTACATGAGCATGGTCAGAATCTTTTTGTAGTTTCTCAGATATTATTACTAGAGTTTCATTAGATTTGCTAGCACTTGTGTCATAAGATATTTGATGTCCTGTAAGATATCTGAAGTAACTTAGTCATAAGTTATTTGGAGAAGCATGTTGAGAGGGGCCTTTAGGTGCATTTTTAAATTAGCTAGTAGGTTGTAATTTTAATAAGGAAAAAAGGGTTATGTCTGTATTTTAGGCTGAGGAAASCTGGGGCTTTATGTCAAACTTCTGTCTGCATTGCCTGGTTTTCTTTGGGGTGTTCCTGTGTGTGGAGCAGCCTCATGATTTGATGAGGGTTCTCTGTGGGGTGGCATTTTTTTCCAAGGTCTATGCACATGTGTCAGTGGGTGTGCTCCCAGACATAAACAGAAGGGGTTTATCTTGCRTGTGATAGGAAGACAGAACTTTAGCCTTGAAAACTTATTACCCTTCTCAGAGCCTGAAATGGAACTTAACCAGTCAAGTATCATTGTGGAGAATGGGATTCCCACCCTCACCCCATTTTTCCTATTTGATAATGCTCAGGGTGCTGTAGGAAGCTTTTTGCTGATGTTAGGAATCAGAGCTGCCTTTAGCTCTTGCCTGTGATWTGAGCAAGTGCTGATTCTCATACCTGAAATCAAGGGCAGCCTGCTTTGATCATAAAATACTCCACATTTTATAGCTCTTTAGGAAATAACACCTGAGGGCTTGCACATGTTTCCTTGGCAGGTTGTTTCTGTAGTTTCTGCCAGGTTTTACTGCACCTGCAGCAAATCAGTTTGAGTGTAGCTGAGTTTAAGCCTCTCCATAGAGTAGACAGCAAAATGCTTGATGATCATTTCACATTGGGACCCCCAGTTCTGTCATGTTGAGTAGCCACACTGACTAAAGGTAAAATGAGGACAGCACTATTTGGGAAATACATTCAAGTTTGTGGGCCATGAAGTGCTCKGGGGAGAAGTGCCAGAGAGCTTTCTCTTGGGAGTGTTCTCTGGCTTCAGGCTGTGCTTGGAGGAGTTTATGGTAAATAATGCACCAAGCTTTGCAAAGGACCATCAGACAAAWGCTCATTTGGTGAACTGCATCTGTTTCGTGTCCTGAACAAGGCAAAAGCTACAGAAAAAGCGTCATTGCATATACTGTCATTGCCATATGTAAAGGAATCCCAATTATGATCAAATAGACAACATTTTGCCATTTTACAACAGAGAACTTCAGASCTGTCAAAAACTCAAAGTCACTTTCTTCTCCTGGACTGTGCTGATAGTCAAGCTTGCCTTTTTGTGACTTTTCAACTGAAGCATCCACTTCCTGCTACGTCCTCTGCTCCTTTAGGAAGAGGCAAGTTCACTACCTTGGGGGGAAATTCCTTCTTGTCTTCCTGTTGTGCAATCCCTGCAGATTTATCATATATTTGGTTCACAGCATGGCTTCTGCCAAAAGGAACCCTGGTAAATACAGGCTATGTGAGAACTTGGCGGAAGCTGATCATGCTTGGAATACTTCATATGTTCTTGTGCATAATTTAGGCTGTTATTGTTAATACAGTTGAATGAGCTGACAATCATAGATATAATTCCTGTTGGAAAGCTAGGGTTATTGCCCTTATGGGGTTTGACAACACACACTTTAGTACAATCATTGTTTTTGGATCAGCTGTTTCTTGTTCAGTGTCCGTGACTAATTAGCTTATAAAAAAAGTCATTGAGCTAATATCTTATAGAGAAACCTGTGATGTCAGATTTGATCCCCTAATTGCTCTTATAATTGGCATTTATTGGAGCTCTTTCACAAGTCATGGCAACAGACCTCATTTGTTTTGTTTAGAATGTTGTAAAAACAATTGAACTGGCAGCTGATTACAGCTTTCTATTCAGTAAGCAATTTTGGAAGACTGTGGGCTAGACAGTTGTCTGATTTGCCTAGGTTGTAAAAGTTAAATGTAAAGAGAGATGAATTTTCAGCATATGGYTCTGTGTTAGCAATTACATGCATTAGTGGTTTAGCTGGTGTATTGTGTCTGCTTTATAAATGTTTATATTGCAGCTTTCTGCTAATAGATATTGATGACAGGCAGAGTTATGGAGGCACAGAGTATGGCAGTGATCATTAGTTATGGCCCAGTAAAAATCCATCTACATGTGTTTGGTAGCATATCCAGTTCTAACCCATGCTCACAGAAACATCAGCTATTCTGTTGTTCCTTAATAATTTARCACAAGGTCATTGTCAACTGGGATGTAAATGTTTAACATTTTATATTGAGCGTATTCCAGTTGTAGAGCTCTTTAAGCATAAGTGAGCCTGGAAATAAAATTATGCTGATGCTTACATAAAACTTGTCTTATTAATTCTGAAGTAATTTGGAATGTTTTCTGATTGCCTAARTACATGAATAAAGGAAATATTGCAGTCTCTTTGTTCTGAAACTACAGAGAGCTCTGTGGTGAAAGCCATCTTTGAAATGTCACATTCTTTTCAAGGAAAAGTAATTCATTGACCCTTGTCCATAAAAATTGGTGGAAAATGGTATTGTTATGACCAGTCTCTGGATCTAATGTCTCAAAGGTGTGAAGAACATGGTAAGTTTAAATTAAGCTATAATGGTATTTAAAAAAAAAAATATTTAACTTTTGCCATATGGCTTCTCTCAAATTCTGTACTTCTTTCTTATTTGCACATCAGCTCTGAACAGCGCGGGGTTTGTGGAATGGTGTCTCAAACTGCAGACAGAAAAATGAGCTTTTTTTTCAAGTATTTGCCAGTTAGAGACAGTCTTCTGGAATTGTTTGCATTAATTTTTTGTTATTGTAACAATGAAAGTCTAATGTCAATTTAAAGAATAAATGAAGTATTTCTGGTGRCATTCATCCTGAAACTGAAGCATGATTAGCAGGTAATTAACTGTYACTATTATGACTTTGCATGGCTTCACTGGCTGGATCCCAGAAATACTGACTTTTCTTAGCAGTCAAAAAGATCCAGGGCTTCTTTTGGATGCTGAATTCAGGTGGCAGAGCAGAAGTTCCTGTGACAAGTGAGAAAAATGACCTGTGGGCCTTATCCCAGGTGCATGAGCTTGAATGGCAAGGACTGCTGAGCTTTTCTGTGCCTGCAGTGCTGCAGTGAACACGTCACTTTTTGCATCGGAAAGAGTTTCGTTTCTCTGAGGATGTTGATACATTTTTTAACATGGGGCCGCTTCAGGCCACTGAAAATTGTCTTTTCTGTTTGTTTTTTTTTCTGCATAAATGATAGCTTTGGAGGAAATGCCTCTGATTATGAATACTTATATGTCAATCTGTAATATGTGGGGAAAAATGAATGTTAATGCATTTGAGATTATTCAACACATTGTGCAGGCAGTAAACATACACAACCCCTCTGTACTAGACATATTTAAATTGCCCAAAAAAGGCAATTAAGTGATTTGTAATAAGTGCTCRTGGAAGCCTTTTAAATTCTTAGGGATAGTGTAGTGTGTTTGTGTCCCAGAGAAGATACCTTACTGAAATACTTAGAGCATTCAACCCTTGGGAGTTAATTGGTCCTTGGCATTGGCAAATTTTTCCTCTGGAAATTATTATTTACCATAAATTCCTTTAAATTCTAAGGTTCAGCTGTACATCAGACCATCTCTTGGTTCATGTCTGACCAAGTATTAGGCCAGATAAATCTGATATCCAAAGTATTAGTAATAAATGCAAGTATGGGTTTAAGATTTAAAAGTAATTTTATGAGTTACAAAGAATTTGATCCAGTGATTTTGGTTTCTGAACTTTTTGACAGATACCTTCGAGGTGAGATGTAAGACACGTGGAGAGGAGGGAACCACTAGATCAGGTTCAGTAATRAACTTTTTTTGTTTACTGTACATTTACATTTGATGATATAAATGTGCTTACTAACACTGACTAACCTAATCCCTTACATTGGTGTTCTGATGTAAATAGAGTTAATTTGTTGGGTCAGAAATATTACAGGAGGTTTTAGTGTGCTGTTTACACAGGGGGGAAATCCGTAAACACCTTTAGTCCTTTTGTCATCTGAATGCTTCTGTTGTCACTTCAGGGCTCATGAACCCGTAATAGTTGTGGAGAAGGGAAAGCTAAACCTTATCCTAGACCAGTGTGCTTAAGATCTTTCTGTCCAGCACATATCTTCAGACCTATGCCAACTTTATWACTAATTTATGGTTCCTTGATGTGCCTTTTCTCGAACATTATTTATCTTGTTTTCACAGGCTGATTATTTTATCTGTTGCTTAACATTTATTTCAGTACTCGACTGGGTTAGATCACAGAATGTGCAGATGTAGTTGTCAGTGCTTTCAGTGTTGTCTCTGCTCAGARTGAGGTTGTCATCAGTGCTTTGAGAGAGAACAGAAATATACTTTTTTACTTTTTTTAGAGAAGTGTAGTGCTTGAAAAGTTGCACTTCAGAACTYCTGTTGAATTTGTTCTGTTGGTTTYGTTTCCAWTCAAGTCGTTGCATTCTGGTACAGGGAGCAGTATGACTGGCTTGGTCAGATGGATCTTGAAATTAGTAGGACTCTGTGGTAAAGATTTGCTGTAGGATTTGGGTTACTKGTTTAAATTACAGGCGGTGTTCTGGGGAGCTGGGAAGGGGAAATTCCTTCTAGAACTTGACCAACACTTTGATGTGCAGCAGATACACAAGGAACTATGGATTTGTTCCCGATGAAATCATAGCAAGACTTACCATAAAACTGTGATTATTTTTGTTTTATTACCTGACTGCCTTACAAACCTTCTTAATTATTTTCTTTCRTGAGCAAGCAGAATTTTAATCTGTATGGTTTATATTAGAAAAACATAATTGCATTTTTGATACAAGGCATGTAGTGTTCTCATGCACCAGATTGAGTTGGTCTATTGCATAAATTGGGAGAAATGAGAAAGAACCCAGAAATACRAGTTCTGCAGAATCAGCAGTTTACTGAAAGTCTTCTAAACTTCAGCTTAGGCTCCTAAAGATACATTTCAGCTGTGATTGTTGCTGACAGAGAAATATAAATGGGCCCTTTCTGCATGTGCTTGTCACATGGGACAGTCACTCTTTGTGTAAGTCTGTATGAGCTTCACCCACTTGCCTTTTTTATTTTTTCTTAGCTTGTGCCTTTCTGCCTAAGAATAAAGCCTCATATTTTAGTGAAAATTGCATTGTGAAAATTTTTAGATATGTTTAATTACAGTGATCACTCTTCCAGTGTCTTGTTTATTGGGAAAGAAGGGAGGGAATAAATAGAAAGCTGTTGTTTTCTATATTCCCTGATKACTCTTACTGGCATGCCAAATATCTAATGAAAAACTGCCTTGTGAATTGTTGGTTTATTTATTTATTTCTTGAACAAAACCTGGTGTGCTGATGTGATCTTACAGTTCCATAGGTCTAGGCTAATATACTCTAAGTGGCATTAATCTGGAGCTCTGTCTTGGCATCTTTAACCCCACCAATGGGATTAAGGCAAGACTTTGTTGTTTTCCCCACTTCCTATCTTTTTTATTATTAATTTCAGCAGTAATACTACATGCTCATTATGTTGAAATTGGAAAGGAAAAATGTGTTACTTAAGTTTATAAAAAGGCAAGCTTTGTGATTTTTTTTTCTTTCACAAAGTGGTGCTTGCATTGCTCTGAGATGAGAAGGGAAAACAGTGGAGCCTGTATGGAATGAAAAATGAAGTTTCCAGTCCCTTCTGCAGATCCAGATGTTCATACCATAAGAGAAGCCTTCACTGTAAGAGATGTAGTTTTGTCTGGGTTATATTCATCCTTTGGGATGTCTAGGTGTACTAAAGAGCCCTTMAGGACAAGGTGGTAAATCTCTGATTAGCTTAAGGGATGCTGTGTGGGTTTTCTTTTTAAATTGTACTACACACTGTTGTAGGCAGTGTTCCTTGACACAGGGAGCATGAGTGTTGATAAATCTGTGTTTAGAGCCTAAATATCCATTTCCATGTGACTGTATATCCTTCTTTTAGATTRGGAGGTGAATTAGTTTAGTTTTCAGAGAGGAGAACCACAAATTACTAACAGTGTACTGAATTCATTAGCTAACAGCCTCAATTAGCTCAACACACATAATGCAGAATAAATGCAGGAAGAGTAAGATCCTCCTAGCCTTGAATTTTCTGCTGTGTCTGTRTTACTGTGCTACAAGGCTTCATTTAGTAGACCTGACAGACAAATGGAGATGGAAAATGTTAAAGAATAAATTCCATTTTAATCTCTTTTGGGGGAAAAAAACCCACTGACTTTAGGAACCAACATAGTAATTAGGCTGGAACAGCATAGATTAGCCTCACTTAAAGTGGGATTTATTTATTTGGAAGCAATTAAATTAACATAGAGTCTGCTCAGCTTGGGGAAGGGTTTGAGTACAGGGTTTTTTTGGTCAAAAAATGTTCATTCAGACTCTGTGCTATAACTTGATAATTTAACATAGCTTTCTTGCAATTTGTCACCAATTCAAAGGCAGCTAATTTTCTGTAAATGATATAGCTTTTCTTGGTAGGAAAAAAAAGACAAAACTGGCTGGATTGAACTTTGGTTCCTAGTTAGCAACTTGCAGGCAGATAAGACAACATCCCCTCCTTTATTACATTGGAGATTTCTGCCCATTGCTTCCTCTTTACTACCTAGGGATTGCCAAAAACTGCAGCACGGCTACCAGGGAATAAGTTTGGGATTAAGAAAGAGATTGAGTCATTTCCCCCCACCTTGATTTGCGTCAAGATTTACAGGATGCACATGACACCCACCTGTCCTGGGGAGGGGAAGGCACTTTGTGTGTTCTGATCAATCTCACCATGGTTCAGGGAGGAAGGACACAAGAGCACTGCTGGTGGAGGCACACAGGCATGATACATATGGTSTATATCAAAGTGGCAAGGTGCTTATGAGGCCTACTAATTGAAAACTTTCTATAGCCTTTTTTATATGTTATCAATGTAAGAATGTAATAACTTTTTACCTATTATTATAATACAATGTAGTCGTTTTCAATATATTATCAATGATAGCTTTTATACATATATTGCTATAAGTTTTTAATAGTGTATTGGCAAYATATAGTATACCAGCTGCATGTAATCTWACCAGMTGGATTAGTRCATAGATATGTGAAATCACCAAAAGGCATAAATCAGAAAAAGTTCTGAAGAAAGTAGACAGGTAAAYGCTATAACAAGGAACAGTAGAAAGCACTAATGAGAACTTGGCAGAGGCACAGGACAGACAGCAAAATAATKGRAAATKATGACTTGGAGGACTAAAAAAAAACATGAACATCACAACTGYGCATGCCCTGAATACAAAGGTTAAAAATCYACCATGATGAAGAGGATGGGATCTCATTAGAGGGAGACCCCCACRACCACCGAATTGAGGATGGCACATGCACACTTGTGAATCTGTGATATCRTGTATTTCTGTGCCCATGTATRGTGRTGGKTGTATGGTGGGTGTATGGGRGGCAGTGASAATGYTCATGTTACACCATGCTTACYGTATAAATATGTGCTAATTTGAAGGGAAGGCAGGTGGGTTAGGAGGAGAAATCCCCTTTGCCTCCAGCACTGCAATAAACAAACACCTGCTCTATAAACACYGGTCTATGGGGTTTTATTTCTAAGCCTTTTTCGGGCATCAGGTGTCAGGAAGGTACTGGGCCAGAGAGGTTCCCCCTTGTGTGGGAGCTGCTAACTTTTCATTTGATGCCAGGATGACATTGAAGGATCCCAGCCCAGTGGTCTGGTGCTGCCATCCTTTGTGCACTRGAAAAGAGGACAGTGYTGGTCACAAAGGGGCCCTAGCTGTGGACAAGGTGAAGGTTGGGGTCCAGGCTGGAGACTCTTGTGACACAGGCCAGATGTGCCAGGCTAGGATGTATACCAGCTGAGTTCTTGTCCACTGCCTGACTCAGATGAGAAATGAGGTGTTGAAAACATCTTGCTCTGAATATTTGGGAAGGATTAAGTATCATCTCCTCTTCCCTCAAGAAACCCAAACCCACAGTGCTGCTTTAGTTGCTTTTTGCTATTTGACTATGAAGTATAGGACATTGTATTTTTAGTGACAGCTTTGGGTTTCAAAGCATGTTGTGTYAGGGCCTCAATAATCCTTTGGACATGTGACTTCTGTTTTCTGCTGGCACAGTAGGTTTAAATTTGGCAGTATTGGATGCCCAACATTGTAAGTTGGATATGTCTTTGGAATGTGGTTTGGGCATATATTTTTAAAAGGAGAAACACAAGTTCAGATTTGTGTTTCTAGTGATAGACCATTTTGAAAAATGGTTCGGTTTATGGGTCATATTTTCAAATTTCTCTTGCTRGATCTTCACTAAGCAGGCTAATGGTGTGTGTTACTCAGATTGCAGTGAAACTGCAAAGAGACCCAAAGAGATCTAGTCATCCTTAACTTGCTGTGACACCCTTTGCATGCTGCTGGCTACAAGAATTAAGTTGGAATTTAAAGGGAAAGAGGGAAGAACTGAGCTGAGGGAAGAACTGAGCTGAAAGAGGGAAGAACACAGCTGGCTGTGCCTTTCCTCAGAGGGTGACTGCACTGTTTTGTACACAGACAATGAACCAAGAAGTGGTGACTGTAATCTTCCTCCTTAACTTCATTCCAGTTAGAAAGGACAAAAGATATTTCAAATGTCTACTTTTCTGGACTGGGTTTGAGCAATGATCTGATAATTCTGACCTCTCTCTTATTCTCCCTTTTTCTAAGAGGGAAAGAAACTAGAACCCTTGGGATGGATCTGTGTTTTAATGTCTGGTGCAAAATCCTRCTGTGTTGGTGGTTTTGTAGCTC